TGATGGGTCATGTTGGGATCAAGGGTTGTGTGTGGATCTTCCAGAGTTTGCAGGCGGTACAGATGGGTCGGAATTCATCGATTGGTGGGCTGTGGCCGAGGCCTTTCTTCGATTCAAGGATGTTCCGGAAGACAGGCGAGTGGATTTGGTGGCTACTCGATTTCGGGGTCGTGCAGCGGTGTGGTGGATGCAATTAACAAGTCAGCGGCATCGTCAGGGCAAACCGAGCATCACTTCATGGATGAAGTTTCGGGAATTAGTAGAACGTGAGTTTGTCCCCTTCAATTTCGATAGCATTGTGTACCAGCAGCTACAAAATTTGCGTCAAGGAGCACGGTCGGTAGACGACTGCACTAATGACTTCTATCGACTCTTAACCCGTGTTGAGTTACGTGAAACAAAAAATCAGTTGGTGTCTCGCTATGTGGGTGGACTTCGTATGAGCATAAGTGACACATTGAATCATTTTCAACCGGCGTCGGTTTCGGATGCTCATCAACGCGCACTCCTTGTTGAGTGTCAACAGGCTCAGAAGTCGGGACCCTCGTTTGTTTTCTCTTCGCGGCAGGGGCCGGCGTTCGGGGCATGTGGCCAACCCGTGCGGGAGACTCCGGCGGTTAGCGGCGGCTTGAGCGAGGGGGCTGGGGTGAGCCGGTTTCCACCAACAACAGGGTCACAGCCACGACAAGGCGGGACCGTGGGTCCGCAGGCGACAACAATTGGAGCGCGTGCGGTGTCCGGGCTGCGGTGTTTCGGTTGTGGTGAGGTGGGACATCGCCAGGCGGTTTGTCCACGGAATGCTAATACTCGCGCATTATTCCCAGAGGAAGTCCTCGACGGTGTTGTGGAGGACGGTATGAGGGGTTGCCCATTTACGATGTAGACCCGGGAGAGACGGAAGAGTACGTATCCGGGGACGTGGGAACGGCTCTTGTGATTCGCCGGGCGTGTCTAGCACTGAGAGGTTCTGCTGATTCGGAGAGGAACCATCTTTTTGAGTCGACTTGCACGGTCGGTAACAAAGTCTGTCGTTTTATTATCGATTCCGGTTCGTGTGAAAATGTTATTGCTCAGGAGGCGGTGAATAAGTTGCAGTTGTCGTGCGAGCCTCATCCACGCCCTTATAAACTCGCATGGATCCAGAAGGGTAATGCGGTTACCGTTGACCGTCGGGCCCTTATCTCTTTCTCTGTCGGCCCCACTTATCGTGATCAAGTTTGGTGCGATGTCGTTCCAATGGACGCGTGCCACTTACTTTTAGGCCGCCCGTGGCAGTTTGATCGTGCGGCTACACATGATGGTCGCCGCAACAGGTACTCCTTTCTTTTTGGGGGAGTCAAAATTATTCTACTGCCCAACACACCAAGCCCGGCGCCTACGCCAGCGCCGCCGCCCTCGGTCCTTCTCCTCTCACGCTCGCGGTTTTGGTCCAAAATGCAAACATCCCCCATCGTATTATTGCTAGTTGGCGCGTGCGGCGATCGATGATCGGGACACCACCCCCGGCAATCCGCCCTTTGCTATTGGAGTTCGCCGACGTCTTTCCAGTCGATATTCCTTCGGGACTTCCGCCTCTGCGGGACATCCAGCACCATATTGATTTGGTCTCGGGAGCGTCGTTACCCAACAGGCCCCATTACCGCATGAGCCCGACGGAACATGAGGAATTGAGACGGCAGGTTGAGGAGCATCTCCAACGGGGTGTTGTGCGCCGCAGTCTGAGCCCGTGTGCGGTGTCGGCTCTTCTCATTCCTAAGAAAGATAGTTCATGGCACATGTGCGTGGACAGCCGTGCAATCAACAAGATCACTGTTCGTTACCGGTTCCCGATTCCTCGCCTCGATGACCTATTGGACCAGTTGCACGGTGCTTCTGTTTTCACCAAGCTCGACCTACGTAGCAATTATCACCAGATTCGAATTAGGTCAGTAGACGAGTGGAAAACGGCTTAAGATCCGGGAGGGCTTGTTCGAATGGATGGTTATCTCGTTCAGGCTCTCGAATGCTCCTAGCACGTTCATGCGTGTTATGAACCAGGCCTTACGTGATTTTATCGGTAAGAGTGTCGTCGTTTATTTCGACGATATTATAATCTACAGCCGGTCTATGGAGGAACACCTACAGCATGAGCGGGAGGTCTTATTGTTGTTACGTGTTGAGTCCTTTTTTGCGCTCCTCGTAACTCGTAAGTGTGTTTTTTTGGTTGATTCCATACTATTTTTGGGATTTGTGATTTCTGCCGATGGTATCAGGGTGGATGACAGTAAAGTAGCGGCTATTCGGGAATGGCCGACCCCTACTTCTTTCACCGAGGCTCGCAGCTTCCACGGGCTTGCCTCTTTCTATCGTCGTTTTATTTCCCACTTCAGTACTATTACTGCGCCCATTACTGATTGCTTACACGGCAAAGCATTTTTGTGGACCCCGCAGGCAGAAGAGGCGTTTGCCCTTATTAAATGCAAGTTGACGACCACGCCAGTTCTTGTTTTGCAGGATTTCTCAAAGACATTTGAGTTATCTTGTGATGTTTCGAATGTAGGAATTGGCGCTATCCTCGGTCAGCACGGTCGTCGAGTCTCTTTTTTTAGTGAAAAATTATCAGGCCCGCATTCACGTTATAGTACATATGATGTGGAGTTTTACGCAGTGGTTCGGGCAATCCGTCATTGGCGACACTATCTATTTCACCGGGAGTTTATTCTTTACACGGACCATGAGGCTTTGCGTCATTTGGCTTCTCAAGACAATATCTCGACCCGTCATGCCTCTTGGACTGCTTTCCTACAACAGTTTACCTTTGTGCTTCGTCACCGTTCGGGGGTGTCGAATAGAGTAGTTGATGCATTAAGTCGACGGGCCCTCTTGTTTTCGGATATATGAGTGTCGATCCTCGGGTTTGATTCTTTACGGGAGCTGTACGCGGAGGACGAGTTTTTTGGTCCTATCCTCCGTCGCCTAGCGCATGGCCCGGTCGATGATTATGTCCTCTCGGACGGGTTTCTTTTTTGCGGGACCCGCCTTTGTATTCCGGATGGTAACCTGCGCCACAAACTGGTGGTCGACCTTCACAGCGCTGGGCATGTGGGACGGTACCGTTCGGTGGATTTGGTGAGCCGGCGTTACTTTTGGCCGTCCACACGTTATGTGGAACGGTGTCGGGTGTGTCATGTTTCGAAGGGTGTTGCTTCGAATGCCGGGCTGTATCGGCCTCTTCCTATTCCATCACAGCCTTGGTGTGCGATTAGTATGGATTTCGTGTTGGGGTTACCGAGGACTCAACGCGGTTTTGACTCTATCTTCGTGGTAGTCGACCGTTTTTCGAAGATGGTTCACTTAGTGTCGTGTAAGCGCACGACGGATGCGGTGCATGTCGCCCAGCTGTTCTTCCGGGAGATTTACCGTTTGCATGGGCTTCTGTCCTCCATTGTGTCGGATCGAGATACTCAGTTTTTGAGCCACTTCTGGCGTACCCTGTGGAGCATGGCGAACACTCAGTTGAATTTCAGTAGCGCGTATCACCCGCAGACGGATGGGCAGACGGAGGTGGTGAACCGCTCGTTGGGCAATTTACTTCGTTGCTTGGTGGGTGACAACCTTCGTAGTTGGGACCTCCGACTGAGCCAGGCCGAGTTTGCACATAATGCGGCAGAGAGTCGGGCCACTGGTTTATCACCGTTTGAGGCTGTTTATGGAGTAAGGTCGCGGGGCCCGTCCGACCTCGTGACACTTCCATCGCCGACGGACGATCGCTGAGCAGCTGACCTTGTGACGAATTTGCGGGCCACGCATGAGGCTGTCTGGGCTCGCTTGGAGGCTAGGACCGCGGCGTACAAGCAACGTGCCGACACCCGGCGGCGTCACGTCGAGTTCAACGTTGGCGATTACGTGTGGGTCGTTCTCACCAAGGATCGCTTCACGGCTCATGAGTTCAACAAGTTGTCGGCTCGGAAGATTGGCCTGGTAGAGATTGTAGCGAAGATTAATGCCTATCGACTTCGTCTACCCTCCCATATTCGCACTTCTGACGTGTTCAACGTCAAACACTTGGTCCCATTTGCCGGTGACAACTCCGATGAAGACGAGGCTGGTCCGGATTCGCGGCCGAATCCTTCTCAACCGTGGGAGGATGATGGGGACGAGGCTGCCTTGGCATATTTGGATAAATTTGATCGACTTCGGATTTAGTTCTTTATTTATTTTATCTTCCCTTTCCTTTTATTACTCTATTTCCTTATGTCTTATGTTAGTTTAGGTAAGTAAATAATGTCCTTGCAGTTGTTTGGCAAGTGCAGACTCTCTTTTCTATTTATTATCTCATGGAAGACATGAGAACGGTATTGAAGAATTTTATAAAATTATCTGGTGTTCTATTTTCACGAGAGAGTATCTCGTTCGTCCCTGCTTTCGTATCACTTTCTACATCATAATCCCTTTTATAGTAGCATATGGATGAGATTGAGTAGCATATGGATGAAATTGACAGGGATGAGATCGACAAAAGGGAGAGGCCTGGCAGTTGTCAACGTAGTTATCTCGTAGATTGTAACGAGTCGGGATATAAGAGGAGTCTGGAGGTCGGCGTCTTTCATCTTGGCTGACTTTTTGATATCGCTGCTTTGGGGATATATAAATTAAAGTGTTGCATCGTGGTTGTCTTAGTGGGTTCAATCTAGTCAGCAAATTTTGAGTACCAACATAAGGCCCCTAAGGCCCCCAGGTCAGGTTCCCAGGGTCAGACACGGTGACCCAACTTATGAATAAAATTGTCGGCCCTATTTTCATCGTTATTTTATACTAAACTTTCTCTGGCTACATTCGTTATTTTGAGACTAAAAATTCATCATAAAACACTTAATCACAATCTAATTAACACACAATTGCTTCGGTGGTCCCGTCGACGAAAACGAACATCGACATATTCAATAATAGTAATTTATATCATTTAATTAGAAATAAGAAGAAATATAGGAACAAATAAAAAATAGAGAATAGAAACTAACCTGTGTAACATAATTGCCATATTGGTCTTGAGCGAGTGAGCAAACTGAGTCCAAAATCTCGTTGAATATGAATTTTGTTTGTACATTGTCACTACAATGCTCCAGGAACCTCTAGTAGCCCAAAAAATCTTAAATTTAAGATTTCTATAACTTTGACAAAGGAAAAAAAAAAAAAA